GCGCCTTCGCTGGCTCCGATCCGGAGCAGATGCAAAGCGGCGCCGCTCCGCCTCCGTCGGAGGGACTCGCCCCCGCTCTGCCCGCGAGGAATCGCCAGGATAAGCCCTTCCCAGGTGAAGCTCATACGGGTTTTTTAATCCAATTTCTTAGTGGAGTGAAGTCTTGTAATAAAGCCTAGAAAGAAAGGATTCCAGCTGTACCCCGGAGCTGCATGACCTCTTCACGCTAATTTATTGGCGACATTTCATCTCTCTTCGTTAGCTCTAGCTTTGGATAGAATTGCCATTTGTTAACTAAGTAATTTAATGAGGCAATTGTAGCAGTATCTCGCCAGCGCCGCTGTGGCGGTCTGCTACTTGATAGCCAAGGTGCTTTGACACACTGGCTGCTCGCTGGAGCTGCTTCCTTGGCTGGTGAGCGTGGCCTGTTGAGTCCAGCTTCGCTGGCTGTCTCGCTGTTATGGGCCATGTGTGCGTTATCTGAATATCCCGCGGGATTTGTTTAGAATTGGTCAGGGAGGCTAACAGCAAATTGCCGTGCTAGGAGTTAGCTGCAGGACGTCGGAGGAAATCGCCCGGCGTGCCAGCGGGGTCTGGCCCGTGCAGTAGCCTCTTCCCCGTTGACTCGTTTTTCAGCAGCGGACTTCAGCGGGTTCAGCGTGCGGCTGGAAAGCAGCAGAGCCCTTCAACAGCACCAGCGGACGGGGCGCACTGTCCGGCCAAGGGTGGCGAGGAGAAAGCCCTGGTGCTGGCCTGGCTGCTCTGCCCACCGTCCCCTCCCAGCTGCCGTCACCCGGCGTCACCACGCCACGGTGGGAAGGGGTTACCTTCAAGGGAGGAGAGAAGAGAGACAGATATATGTCACTTCAGAGGTAGGTGTCAGCAGAAGCTGTGGTGCTAGCGCAACAGATTCCCCCCTTTGGGGTTCGCTTTCATCCTTCGACGCACGCAGGCAGCAGGGGAAAATGACCTCACAGGTGAGGAAAGTGATTATAGCCACGCGCGGAGAAAACGCTGAAGAAGAGAGCGAGAGCCTCCCGCGAGCTTCCTCGGTCGCGACGAGCCTCCTCC